AAATTAATAATATGGTGTTAAATCCTTCCCTAGAATCTCTGCATTACATTCCTGCATTCCATCCAAGTGCAAGAAAGGCAAGACCCAAACTTACTGTTATGAATTCTTTGGAAAGCATAGTTAGTAGGGTTGAGAGACCATTCTCCAAAGTATTCTACTGCCTGAGTCCTGGAAAGCTTATCTGCAAAAGGTGTTTGCTTGGGCCTAGAGGCAAGAAAAGAATTTGCCTGGAAGGCCACCACGGGTCGTGGGAAGAGGCGAAGGGTGCGAGTGTGCATCTGGAAACCCTGCAGGACATTTGGGGAGTTGAAAAATCTCACCATAGCAACCCTAAAAAGAAACAGAGGACAAAGGAGTAGATAAAAATGCAGAACACAACAGAAAAGAAGACAGAGAGCCTTTGAAAGGTATGCAGCAAGCAACGTTTCAAACCTTTGCAGAACAGTACAGTTCTTCAGTACAGAAACCTGAGTCTTTGCAGAAAAGAGCTGTCTTTTAGGAAATAAATAAATACCCTCAAAACTCCCAGAAATCACTCTGCTTTAATTCACCACCTCAACACCAAGCATCACTCAACTGGGGACATCAGTCTCATATCTGCTAGCTGAGGTGACAACTAAGTCTCCAGCTTTTTTTTTGTATCTCAATTGATTTAAGCTGAGGATACAATATCAGACTGACAAGTCCAGGTAAAGTGGATGATCTGTAGGAAAAGGCACAGAACACCTCCTCAAGATGAAGAGTTCATGCAGTTAATAGATTGTAGATAAACACTCATTTCTGCTCTTTTTTTTCCCCCATGTTGTAAATAGAACCTGCAGTAGAACCTGGAAGATGCTGCTTCTACCACAGGACCCATAGAAGTGTCTGTGGTGCCTTCAGCAGCACTTTATGAAGACTCAGCACCACCTCCCTGTTCAGCCTTACCTGGTAGCCACATCCACAGAGTCCACATCATTTCCATAGATCAGAGGGTTGAATTCTGTAGAGGGAGTAGACTGCAAATCGTTCTGTGGTCTTCCCAAGAGCAGTGGCACCTCCTGCCCCTCATGGAACTTCTCTAGGTTAAGAATGGGCTGAGTATTCAGACTCATGCTGGCCAGTGCCTAACAAAGGACAATATTATGCACACATTCAGCAAGAAACCTTACTCAAGGAACAAGATCAGAGCTACCCTGCCCTCTAGGCAATTCCAACAACTGTGCATGCTCCATTAGTTTGTTTCAAAGCATCTCCTACTCTGAGCCATCAATTATCTCCAGGTCTTCCTTTATGTGGTTCTCCTCAATGCTGAAACAGTCCTGAAGCACAGAAGTCCAATTGGCTAGATCATTCACAACATGAAAGCAGATAGTCCAAATTGGACCACTAGTAGTATGGCACTGTGTCCAACTTATTGTATATTCCTCTGTGAAATCTGAATACATCTTGGGACCCAGAGGCCTTGACACTTGCCTTGCAACTTGGCCATTCAACCAGTGAGTTTGATATCCCAGGACAACATGAAGGCAGCTGTACACAGGCATCTGTCTGTATCCCTGCAAGCCTCCACTTCCCACCTGAATGATGCCCTCATCTCTCCACAAAGCTACCATCCTCCTCAACCCTCATAATATCTTCATGGAAGTGCACTGGAGCAGCACAACTGGTACATCAGTCCTGGACACCCAGATCTATCCTAAATCTTCCTCATTTCTCCTATTTGCCCACTGTCTCTTCACCTTTTTAATTTCAAAAATAAATATATAAAACAAAACGAAAACGCCAAAGGAAAAGGGTAAAATGGAAAATTGAGAGGAAAAGAATAAAATAAAGAACCTTGTTGTCAGGAGTGAGCAGCTGTTTCTGAGTGATTGCAGTCATGCTAATCAGACACTGGAGGCAAGATGGAAGATCATATGATAACACCAGCAGCCCATCAGAGCCAAGACGAACACATGACCACAGAGAAACAGATGGAAGAAAAAAAAAAAAATCATTCTATTACTACCAAATATCACAAATGAGAGGAAATAAAAAGGACCACAAAATAGGCACATCTTGGGAGAGAACTGCCCTACCCCCAAACATTCACATTTGGCCAGTGTGGAAAGTGGAAAGGCTGCTGTCCTCCTTGATGCAGCTAAGAACTGTGTGCTGTCGTTTAAAAGCAGATATCCTGAATTTTACTCATTTCCACTAAGACCTAAAGGCACACAGAAGTGTTAACCTTAGTGATAGGGGTCACAATATAGTCTTCTCTACTTTGTACAGCAACCAGTAGCACTCCTCCTTTGCCAATGATCAACTCTTAATGATAATATCTGTAAGAATACACAGGGATGTGATCTGAATTTGAGTGAAGACTCTTGAGAATTTTAAACATGACTTCATGAAAATTGAAATTTGTTTTTCTGATATCCAACTCTGCCCTAGAGAGTGTGTTTTGCTAAATAATGCCTGAAATTGCAAGGGGGTGAGGCAGAAGTGGGGGGAAGGTGCATCTAACAAAACTCCAAGCAACACATGGCTTCCATCTGTGCAGACAGCAGGTACTGGGGTATCAGAGAGGTTACACACTTTGCTCCCCTGGTCTCTGAGGAGAGAGAAAGGGCAGACCCATCACATCAGTAACACACTTTACCTTTAGATACTGCATGCAGCGTGCAGAAGGAAAACAGAAATAAAGAGATAAAACCTGCTTGACATGATCAGCCAGGATGACCCAAGCTGATTAATGGCTTAGCAGGACCTGAGAGGAGAGACTGAGACCTCACACACACATCTGTGAATGTAGGGGAAACAAAGATGATCACAGCTTGATGGATCAGGTCAGAGTTTAAAGCCCACATGGCAAATGTAAAGGAGGAAACTGGAAACCTTCTGCACCAACTGGGAACAAGCTAGCCCTGAACAACAGTAAAAACCAGAAACCACCTCTTGCATCCAGGAGTATTTCAAGTTGTCCCTCAGCTGGCTAGGAAATTAACTGCACTTTTCCAAATCAACTCTCTCCATTAAGACAGAAAAGCAGCAACTGGATATCTACTACTTAGCATCTGTCTGAACTGATACTGCTTTTCAAGCTCCAAATGTCATACTCATATTCAGTGCAAAGTACAGAAAGATCTGAAACAAGATGAAAGTCTCAGATTTAGCTTAGTCATGAGAAGACAATCTAAGAAAGCCACACAGCTCAGGGACATCAGAAGAAGACACCCCTATAAGGTTGTTTAGCCAGCCCCACTACTGATTAGCCCACCTCCACATTCAGAGAAGCAGATCTCTCCATGACTGACCAAGGGGCACTTTCTTACACAAGAGTACTGTAGCAGTCTGATATATTTTCACCCCCATCTGATGTGCCTGGATACACCCCTGCTTTTAATCATTTTGCTTCTCATTTGATGACTTGCATTCTTCTCCAGTATAGCAGAAGAGCTGTGGAAGACTATCTGCTAAGTTCTACTAAACCCCAGTCCTTCCCCCAAAGTTTTTTTTTACCTGTTTCAGATGCTTTTTCAGCTCTGAAGCTTCTGGTTCTGGGAGTGCTGGCAAAGATTCTGCATTTGTAGGAACAATTACCTGGAATCAAGCACAGCAACAAACTAAAACTTCCCCAGCTGTAGTCATTTCCAAAACAGAATCTCCTCAATCTCCACCACTCCAAGGAATAAAAACCATAAAGTAAAATAATTGATAAAAAATTCCACAACACCCCCCCCTACACACACACAGACACCCTCATCAATTTTTTGATTTTCAATTCTTCAGAAAGGAATCCTAAAGTTCAAGACAGGAGTGGCAAAGGCAGATTGAGGCCAGGCACTCTTAAATTCCCAGTGGGGGCCCTGATGAAATTGCACAGTTCCTTGGAAACAAAGCCATAAGCCCTTCAGGAAACCACTTACCCTATTGGTATCCAGGTCAATAAGCCATACATCATCAGGCATTTTAAAATCCAGCTTGTAAAGGAAGAAACTTGCTGGAACACCAATGATGTAAGGTGTAGGGGCTAGAAGCAACTGAGAGAAAGAGAGACTTTAATAAGATCACCATGTTCTTCCCAAATATTTATTCACTACAGTATGCTTATAGCTGAGGAGATAACACACAAAGCATTTATGAATAAGTCATTAAGACACAGAAGAAATAAGTCATATTTTAAGATGTGCATGGAAAACATAAGGGGAAATTCAGGTTGTTTCTGATAAAGGAATCAGCAAAGATGTTTAAATCAATAAGGCATGTAGCAGCTTGAGACAAGTGGCTTGGGAGGCTAATTTATTCTTTAAAATCCAGAACAGTTGTTCACTTCCATGCAGCAGTACAAGAATAAACCTGCAGCATCAGCTGCCTGATAGCACTGCAGTACTAACACGGCTGGAATTCTATTTTTCCAAGGAAAATAATGAGCTCCTGCAGGGAGCTGACTATTGGCAAAGCCCAGGCTCCCAGCTGAAGTAACTCACCACTTCATTGCAGGCAATAATTTCTAAATTCTGAATCAGGAGCCCTCAAGCTTCTTTAATTACTACTCTGGACCCTCCCCAACAAGCCTTAATGCTCAACTGAGGGGAGGGTGGGGGGTAAATATCCATCATAATATTATGGATCTATGACCTTTCAGTCCATTGCTTGTGAACTGCTGCTTGGAATCACACTATTCATTAAGCATGCCTTGAATAGATCCTAAGTAAGTGCTGTTACCTAGAATTCAAATAGTGGTGCTCAAAGAATGTTCTTTGCAAGGCAGAATTTGCCACAAGCCCTGAGAAACCAGAGGAAAAGGAAACAAGGGCTACTCTTATGTAATTAGACAGAGAATCATAGAATCATAGAATGCATTGGGTTGGAAGGATCCTCTAAAGGTCTAGTCCAGCCTCCCTGCACTAAGCTGGGACATCTCCATCTGGGCCAGGCTGCTCAGGGCACCACTAAAGGAGACAAACATACCTGTTCTGCAGAGGCCATGCAGGTGGGAAGCAGAGGGATCACAGGGAACATGTACTCTAAAGGGTAGATCATAGCCACAAAGGCCATCACAGACATGGAGAGGGCATTGTAATCCCGGGACTGCAGTACAACCTGCAACCAAAGGAACTCACATGAGCCCTGCAGCAGCCATTCACTCCTCACACCCCCCCAGGGCTGTACAAAGTGCTCTTCTACACATCCAGCCTGCCCTGGTTCTGAAGGGGGCAGAGCTTCCTACACACCTACCAAAACCCAACTCTTCCCCTCTCACCTTGTGCTCCAGAAGGATGCAGGTCAGCACCTGCAGGCAGGCATCCACTCCCAACAACTCCAAAGGCAGATGTAGTGGGAAATCCACCAAGGTGAAGCGGGATGGATCAGGAAGAGCAAAGGTCAAAGCTGGCTGCAGCTCATGGGGCAAGACTTCCACGTCCACCCGCTTCTGCCCGGCGACAGGCATGGGCGAGCGCAGCAGCCGGTATATCCAGGCCTCAATCTCCCTCAGGTCGTGCAGCAAGGCACTCGACTTCTCCTCCACCAGCAGGGAGCCTGTGAAGATCCTCCACATTGTATCCCTGTGCAGGGAGAAGAAGAAAGTTAATCCTCCAAGAGCTTCACCTCACAGCCGCTCCGCGAGGCGCCTCAGGCAGATGCGCCGAGGATGACGAGATGCAGCCAAGCCACGTTGGGTCACACAGAGGAGTAGAAGAAAGGGGTTTAAAGTGACTGACCCAACCTCTGTGGGGAAGTGTCTATCTTTCTGTGCCAGGAAACAACACAAGGATGTCATTTCCACCCAAGAGCTCATTCATTCATTGAATGGGTTCAGCTAGGTCCAGATCTCTGAAGATCTCTCATTATCCTGGTGCTTGAAATTCAGCATGCACACAGGATACCCTCATGTTTCATCCAGACCTGTGGCAGACTGACTGACTGCAGGATTCTGCTTCCAGCAGTCCTACAAACCTTTGCAAGAATAGAAACTCATCCTGAGATAACAAACCTTTGCAAGAATAGGAACTCAGCCTGAGATAACAAACCTTTGCAAGAATAGGAACTCAACCTGAGATAACAAACACACGCCACACCAAGATCTCCCAGATGTTTTCATAAAATGCTCTTTTTCATCCTCTTCTAAAGTGCACTGTACCACTCCTAAGAGCTGAATAACCCAGGGCAGAGGTGGATGCATTTCAGCTAAGAATATACATTTCTGAAAGCTGTCCAGAAAGCATTGAGGTACCTTAGTAAAATAAGCAGCAATTCTTCCACGCCCCAAGCTAGTAATCTGCAAACTTGTAGCTCACAGACAGGCTGGCCAAAATATATGTACATTGTTCAGGGCATTCAGAGCTTCAGAACTCGAAAGTGGGTCTGACAAGGGAAGCAAAGTGGCCTGTCCAGCCTTTGATGTTGTAGCACAGTGAAGTCTGCAAACCTGCTGTAGCCATGCTGCAAAAAACTTCAGCCTGATTAGTTGCTGTGATAAATCCCTTAGAATGGTATGGGTAGAAATTGGAGGTTCTAGAGAGTTCACAACTTTAAAAAAAAAAAAATGTGAAAAAGGAAAAACATGATGCCACCAGAAGCTTCAGAAAGGAAGAAAAAATACAGAAATTTTGAAGGGTCAGAAGAAAGGCCATTTGAGATGATGCTGAGCAAGTGATAGACCTCTCAGGGACTGTGATGCCTCAGCCTCCACTCTTCCTTCAGCCACTTGTAATGCACAGGAGATTATGTTGTTAACAGGCACCCTCAACTTTTTGCAAGCTTTAAGAATTCAGTTTCACCTTTTTTTCTCCCACCACTTCAAAACTATTCTACTCTTCCAGTCACAGCTTACAAAATACCTGGTAATTCAAACCTGCTGCTTTACTTTTCCCAGAGATGTATGCTCAGCATTCCTTCTCTTGCACTCCTCACCTCTCACTCAGTTCTTCTCTTAAAGAATTATGTCCAGCAAGAGCAAATTTTTTCAATTACCACATGCCATTCAATTGATGGAATATTTTAGCACCTCTTTCATTAATCAGATGAGCTAACAGAGTAGAGGAAAAACATGAAATTTATCTTTTTTCTGCCTCAGTAATTATCAGATAAATGACAAAATAAGCTCCCTTAATTCATAATTCCAGTGGAGGTGGGGAGGGGAAGAGCTCTGTTCTGACAGAATCATTTCTTCCCCAACAGCAATGGGATAAAAGTAGATAAAATCTATTAATGCACGACTCAGTTATAAGTCCAGGACACTCTTCTAGAACTGTTCCAGGGTAGCAACCCAAGGCTACAACTCTGTGAATAGGACAGTTTTGCCCTCTCATGCAAAATATAAAGAGCTTATAAAGATGAAAATGGTAGATATGCTGTCACGTTTTCCTTTTGATGAGTGTAATTTGGAGTGTACCAAGGTACTTAACTCACATTATGAGCTACCTCATAGGCTCATCCCTCTCACTACTGAGAAAATCTCCCTCTGGAGAATGTCTCCAGAGATTCAGTTCATATTTTCTCTTTTTAGTTGGCATATTGGAAAGGAAAATAACATCCTGGAATGGAGCTGTCAGGCACAACTGCAGAGATATACATCCATGACTGATACATATACAGACATTGTTCCTTACACACCCTACAGTGCTACAGCCTTTGTTACAGACTCAACATTAGAATAGCACATATGTAATATTACTACATTAAAAATACACCAAATTCCTGTGAATTTGCTGTTATCAACCCCAATTCCCATTTGCTTACTAGACAACTCCTTTGCCTTCCTCCTCTCCTCCCTCTCCCCTTCAGATATTGTACTTAGATCTCTCTCAGCCA